TTCGTTAGATTGTGAGTCATGTCAATTTGCCAAACACCACCGTCTTTCTTCAAGTCCAAGTACAATAAACGGGCTAGTGTCCCTTTTGAATTAGTTCATTCAGATGTTTGGGGTCCGTGTTCTATTGTGTCTAAACCTGGATTTAAATATTTTGTTACCTTGTTGATGACAACTCTCGTGTAACTTGGCTTTATTTAATGAAGAATCGTTCTGAGTTGTTTTCTCATTTTTGTGCCTTTTGTGCTGAAGTTAAAACTCAATTAATACTTCTATCAGACATTAAGAAGCGATAATGCCAAAGAGTATTTCTCGAGTTCTTTCAGTCTATATGCGCCAGCATGGCATTCTTCAATCCTCTTGTGTTGACACACCATCCAAAATGGAGTAGCAAGAGGAAAAATAGGCACCTTCTTGAAACCGCTCGAGCCCTATTATTTCAAATGCAAGTTCCTAAACAGTTTTGGGCCGATGCAGTTTCCACGGCCGTTTTCTAATTAAGCCATGCCTTCCTCTATTTTGAATGGTTTCACTCCTTACAGTGTTCTCTTCCCGTCTAAGTCTTTGTTTCCTATTGCCCCAAAGATTTGGTAGTACTTGTTTTGTTTGTGATATTCGACCCCAAGTAACCAAGTTAGATCCAAATCTCTAAATGTGTTTTTCTAGGTTACTCTCGTCTTCAGAAGGGATATCGATGTTATTGTCCTGGTCTTAATAGATATCTGGTGTCACCTGATGTTACTTTCTTAGAAAACACCCCTTTTTTTCCCACTTCGTCTACCTATACACGTCAGGGGAGGACGATGACTTACTAATCTATACTGTCACGTCCACACCTGAGTCTTCCCACATACTGTTCCTCCTCCGGCACCACCACTTGTCATCCACTACCTCCAATTCACATTGTCTTTCTCGTCGACAGGAACTCTTGTACCAGTCCCTTCGTCGTTAGACCCAGTCCCCAGTGATGGATACCTGTGTTCCTCGTCAAGAGACACTCAGACTTCATGTCCTACCCAAGACTCTTCGTCGTTGGATCCAACCTTGAGTGATCTTGATCTTCCTATTGTCTTTGGAAAGGTAAACGTCAGTGTACTTATCCTATATCTTCATTTGTTTCTTATGATACCTATCACTTTCTTCTTGTTCTTTTGTGGCATCACTAGACTCTGTCTCCCTTCCTGCAACTGTCCATGAAGCCTTATTCATCCTGGTTGGCGTGATGCTATGATAGAAGAGATGACTGCCTTAGATGTTAATGGTACTTGGAACTTGGTTGACTTACCTACTGGAAAGAAGCCTATTGGATGCAAATGGGATGTTGCTGTTAAAGTAAATCCTGATGGGTCAGTGGCTAGGCTTAAAGCTCGTCTTGTAGCTAAAGGCTATGCTCAAACTTATGGAGTGGATTATTCTGACACTTTTTCCCCTGTGGCTAAATTGACTTCTGTTCGCTTATTTATCTCTATGGCAGCTACTCATTCCTGGCCATTACATCAGTTGGACATAAAAAATGCCTTTTTACATGGTGACCTTCAAGAAGAAGTCTATATGGAGCAACCACCTGGATTTGTTGCTCAGGGGGAGTATGGGAAAGTTTGTCATCTTCGCAAATCGTTGTATGGTTTGAAACAGAGTCCACGTGCTTGGTTTGGAAAGTTTAGTGAGGTAGTTGCAAAGTTCGGAATGACAAAGAGCAAGTCTGATCACTCAGTCTTTTACAAACAATCGGCAGTTGGCATTATTCTTCTTGTTGTATATGTTGATGACATTATCATCACTGGGAGTGACACTACAGGGATTTCATTACTTAAGTCATTTCTTCACACTCAGTTTCATACAAAAGATTTAGGAGTGTTGAAGTATTTCTTAGGGGTTGAGGTAACAAGGAGCAAGAAAGGCATCTTCCTCTCTCAAAGAAAATATGTACTTGACTTATTAACTGAGACAGGAAAATTGAGTGCTAAGCCATGTAGTACGCCAATGTTTCCTAATTTGCAACTTACCAAAGATGGTGAACTATTTGAAGATCCTGAGAGGTACAGAAGATTGGTTGGAAAGTTGAACTATCTAACAGTCACTCGTCCTGATATTGCGTACTCTGTCAGTGTAGTAAGTCAATTCATGTCTTCTCCTACTGTTGATCATTGGGCAGCGTTAGAACAGATTCTGTGTTATCTGAAAGGAGCTCCAGGACGTGGTATTTTGTACGGAAATCATGGACATAATAATATTGAGTGCTTCTCTGATGCAGATTGGGCGGGTTCCAAGATAGATAGGAGATCCACTACAGGCTACTGTGTTTTTATTGGTGGAAATTTGGTCTCATGGAGAAGTAAGAAGCAAACTGTTGTGTCCCGATCTAGTGCAGAATCGGAATATAGGGCTATGGCCCAGTCTGTGTGTGAAGTAATATGGATATATCAGTTTTTGACTGAAGTTGGTCTTATGGCCTCTTTGCCAGCAAAATTGTGGTGTGATAACCAAGCCGCTCTGCATATTGCTTCTAATCCCGTATTTCATGAACGAACTAAGCACATTGAAATTGACTGTCATTTCATTCGTGAGAAAATACAGCAAGGTTTAATTTCTACAGGATATGTGAAGACTGGAGAGCAACTAGGAGATGTTTTCACTAAAGCTTTGAATGGGGTTCGGATTGATTATATTTGTAACAAGCTGGACATGATTAACATCTATGCTCCATCTTGAGGGGGAGTGTTGTAGATTGTTGTAGATAATCATGCAAAATCTTACAGATATTGCATGATTAAGTGAATAAATCTATAATAGGATATTAGGATTGTAATCAATACATAATAGGAACAAATCTGTAAAATAGGAAGTTAGATTTTTTATTTCCTAGATTAGATTATTTATTTCCTATATTAGTTCTTTATTTTCCTATATATTGATGTATAATTTGTCAATGCAATACATAAGAAAATTACAATCAGTTCTCTGTTTGTAACAAACACATTTCGGGTTTTGCTCCTAGGAGAGGTAGATGTAATTTTCTGCTATACAGATGATCTTCAATCTGCATCTTCCAAAACGCGTAATCTGTTCCATCGAACTTGTTGATCCCAGGCGTAGATCCTCCTTCTTCTCCAACCATCACTTTCTTCCTTGAACCTTGCTCTGATACTAATTGTAGGGGGGATTTAATTGAATACTAGCAAATCCTAAATCCCTAAAAGCGAAAAATAATGCGAACAATGGACACAAAATAACCACATACACAAACACAAAATTTATAGTGGTTCAATCTCCGTATGAGAGCTACGTCCACTTTGCCACCACATAATTTCACTATGAAGAAGAAGAAAAGAAATTACAAGAATCTCTCACAAGCCTCACAAATTGGCTCACTCACTAAACCCTATTTGGTGGCTCTCACTCTCTAATTGTAGTTTTGCCTTTTATTCAATTTGTGTTCTCTAACTCTAACACTTAACCCCTTTATATAGGTAATATTAGACTGGCAAAATGGGCGGGTGTGCCGGGTATAGTCCGAGTCTAAACAGGTACGAGTCTTACGGGTACGGGTCTTAAACTGGTCGATTTAAACGAGTTCAATACTTTAGACCCGTACCCTATCCTACACGGGTACGGGTAGACCCGTGGGTGCCCATTTCTGGTGAAGTTCCTCTTGACCCTTCTTCTCAAAGTACTTTATGACCCTTGAATCTCAACAGCAAATCTTTGTTTTTTTTCTTCCTTCTTCTCAAAGTACTTTAGGACCCTTCCAATGAATCTCAACAGCAAATCTTTGTTCTTTTTTCTTCCTTCTTCTCTACAATCTCATGCGCCAGATCCCACCCCTCGATCCTCTATACCACCATTCTCACCTCGTACTTCTTCGTCACAACTCACAAGAGGCGGCCATGGCTGCCACCTCATCATCTTTATCACCATTCTTCAAACCAAACCCAAACCCAAAAGCAAATACCCGAAAAAGAACAACCTTAAAATCTTCAAATCCTTGAAAAAAAAAGAAAAGAAAAGAAAACTTGTTTCCAAAATTACACAATGTTTTTCATTCTTTCCCATAATTCAACCACACAAAACAAACCCAAAAAAGAAAAATTCTTAAAAGCTCCAAAATCTTGAGAAACACGAAGAGAAAACAATTTGAAGAAATGGAAATGTGTTGCTCTATAACCTATCTTGATGAACCAGAAGTAAGAAGGGCTAGGTGAATAGAGATTGTGAATGATTTTGATAGGAAAGAGGCAGACTACGAATGAACAAGAGAAGAGAAGTTTGTGAATAGATTTAGCCAACGCTACCTGCCAAAAAGTTTGATGGGATAGAAGAGAAGTTAAGTTTGGAGAGAGAGAGAGAGAAGGCAAACAAAAGGTGTTGTAGCTTGTAGACGTCTGCTCACATGCTACGAAAGAGAAAAACTTTTTTTCTTTAAATTAAAAACGGGTACCCACGGGTGTACCTGGCCTACCCGTTTATAAAATGGGTAGGGCCGGGTACGGGTCTTAAAAAACGGGTTTAATAATACAGACCCATACCCTATATAATTTATCCGGGTATAGGGTCGACCCGTGGGTCCCAACCTGTTTTGCCAAGTCTAGGTAATATATAAGACACTATTCCTAATAGGACTCAAATCACATATCCTAATAGGAATTATATTTTAATTTCTAATACAATTATAATTCTATTCCCAATTGTATTCCTAAAAGAAACAATTCTACTTAAATACAGATTAGGAAAACTAATGTCCTAATCCAACTCTAATTTGGATTGAATTTGGCTTCACAATCTCAACAGATTGTGAAGCCCAATACTTGTGGTGGCTCATTCTTGTCCTCACAAAATTAATTTATGGTCATTTTTTATTTGCATATATTCTCAATTGGTTTTGGGTTTTCTTGATTAGGATTAATGGTATCTTTCATTGGAAATTTTTGGGTAAATGCTTATAAGAGATGAGTCTGATCAAGATAGTTTTATTATTCTCAATATCTTATAAACTAAACATTGCATGGCTCTAATATTTGATCATTAACATATCTTAGTACATTTGGAGTATAAACACCAGAACACTTGGATGGAAAAGGACGTAAAAGAACATTTAGAAGGACAAAATCTACATATATAATATGGATTAGGGAGCCTTTTAATTAAATTTTTACAGCAAAAATGGGGCTGAGGACAGCATGGAGACTGTAAAGAAGAAGCACCGAGTAGATTATCGCAGCAGCAAAACCAGCAACAAGAGCTCCAGTGACACGGTCACAAAACTTCGGAACTTGCTCACAAATAGGTAACCAACCAGCATGACTATTGCCTTTCTTCCCCACATGAGCTATTGCCAACGCCGCTGATATGCTTGAGGTCAGCAGGGCGGTTACAACCTGAGAAATGAATTTTCACAAACACCATAATCAACCCAGTTGAAATTTAATATCACCTAGAACATCTAAACCAAAAAATGAAATCTGCTTGCTTCATTACCACATCCAGGATGATTGTTAGGCGCCAAAGCAAACTCTTGGAAGAAAGAACAAGAACTAGTAGGCTATACCCGCCTGCAATTGCTTCTGCAACCACAAAGTACCTATACCAAATTATCAAACATTTAATAACCAGAAAAAAGAAGGGGGAAAAAAAAAGATAATAAGATAATGTGTGGTGAAAACTTACTTAAATACAGGGTCATTGCTATATTTGGCGGTGAATGTCAAGTTCAAAACTTGAGCTGATTCATGGCTTGTGACCATGACAACAATTGCAGCAATGGTTGCTCCCAAGGCTAGAAGCCTTAGAAGAATGGTGATGATTCTCTTTGTCTTAGTAGTCATTGAGCTTGTGTTGAGGGAATCAATTGAAGAAACTTAAATGGGTAAAAAAAAAGATGAATGGAACAAGAAATATATAGTGTTGGTTAATTACCTAGTGAGGAAGGCAGATGGGGGATGGTGAACTTGTCTCCTTTTTTGTTACTCAAAAGAACCAGATTTGGTAACCTGTTAATGCATGAAATTTTTAACACTGATAAACCAATGCAAATGCTACTAATCCTAAAATTAGGCAAATTTATTAATCTCTTTTGCACACCATGTTGCATAAATTATCTCTGGTCTGCTCACCTACTCAGGTATTTGAACTGGTACGGCTACTATCATCAATGGCCACCTGGAATTGAAACCTTTTTCTGGGAATTGGTAAATTGGTTGGTAGGGTAAGACAGAGAGGCCTAGAGGATGGTAGTAGTTGGTTAAATGTCAATTTCCATTTTCACACTAATTTTTCTGGTTTAGAATTTGATAAGACCCACTTCATTTTGATTGTTTATATACATGTAAATTAGATCAGAAAAATCAACCCAAATTGAATTCTGTGAAGGAAACATGCATCAAGTTTGCAAGCAAAATAAAATTTCAATCTTGTGATTTGAACATGACTCATTTGCTTATGATTTTCATGTTGCTGATTTTCTATCATGTAGAAATATCGTGGGAACATTCCTTTATTGTGACAGTAACAAAACTTGTTTGAGATGAATATACCATAAATTAACTTTAAGGGGTTGGTCTGGTAGTCAAGGAGGTCTACTTCCTTCATTGAGTTTTTTGGTTCAAACCTTAAGACTACTTACAACAAATTATATTGTGCTTAAATTCTGTTATATACATTATCTAATGAATATTTAAGTTATAGTGTATAGTTTGGAGAGTGACTATTATATGAATTTATAATAAATGAATAGTTTACAATTTTAAGTTGATTAATGAAATTGAGTTCACATCAAACGTAAATTCAATTTATATTTTTGAAACAAAGAATTCCAAATAGATTTTAAACAAACCAAAAAAAAAAAAAAAATGTGACCTTAATAATTGAAAATAAGAACTACAACATCACTCTAAAACAATTCAATTCAAACTCATTTACAATTACAGTGTGAATTAAATCATGCACATTTTTCATGTTAGTAGATTCTTTTCTAGATTTTGATATTAAAATTGGATTAACTTTGACTTATATTTTTTACAATCTATTTGAGTTGTATTATGTTATAACTTGTCTTAGGTGGTTAAATGAAACACAACTTTTAATTGATTAAATTATCCCTAAATGATCGGGTGGGGCGATAAAAACTCTTAGGTGTATTACTAAAAAAATCTTAAGTTCGATTCTCCTCGATTGCTAGTAGTAGTATGAATAATCTCTACTGAAATTCGATTCTCCTCAATTGCTAATAGTAGGAATAGTTTCTACTAGAGTTCGATTCTCCTCGATTATTAATAGTAAGAGAACGCACGCAAACTGATTTGAACACATTTAGATTAATAAATTGCTAATAGATTTTATAGTTAGTATAATTAATGAAATTGTAAAATAATAAATAAATAAATAATGTTAAATCACTTTACTTAACGCAACCCTATCACAGCCCCACCAACAAACACTTGCCGCCGCGTCCACAGCCAGATGCACCCCGCCAACGAACCACAGCCACGTACACTCTTCTCCGTGTTTCCTCCCTTCCTTGGATCGTCACAGCCCAATCTCCTCAACCACGTCGCATTACCATTAAGATTGCCACACTATACATTCAAGTTTCGAATCATTCAATTAAATGTCATAGATCAAATCATGTGGGTGCACAATATTTGGATTTGTAGTAATTTCTAAAGATCTACAAGCTTTAGTTAACAGCAAAATGTGGCAAATTCATATATCCGCCGCACCATGACAAGTGCACACATAAAAAAGGTAGCTGAAAAAGTTGGTAAACCAACTTTCGAAATTCTTAATTGGGAAAAAACGATAAATCAACTTCTTCTGGTTGTTTTATTATTATTATTATTATTATTATTATTTGACAATGATGTTGTGTGGGTACGAGGAAGGTAGGAAGGTGTGGATGTGGCAAGGGGAAAGTTGTAAAATAGCATGGAAGATGTTCGATGAAATGCTTGATGATTTTTTTGTTTGGTTTGTGTAATCATGGTGGCTGTGAGCGGCTTTTTGGTGGGTTTGGTGTTTTAGAGGAATAATGCTAGGGCGGAAAGGGTGTTCCATGGCTTATACGGGGAAGGAGGGAGATGAGGGTTCTGGGCATAGAAGGGTAGTTGCATGAACCTCATGTGAATTTGAATTCGTTTTAAACGATTTGTTGAATTTAATTTGATAGTGTTAAATTTATGGTTGAAGGATTAATTTGTTGGATGGTGGATCACTTTGATCAATGGTGGTGATGGGGCTTGGTGATATGGAGTGTGGAGCGTGCTGCGTTTCAGGGACCTGTTGGGTGAGGAGAAAGGTATTAGTCATTTAACACTGTTATGTTAAAACTAACGAAAAACTGTTGACGACAGGGGGTTTCAAGTTAATACTGATACTTTGGGGATTTATTAACCCTAGGGGTTTTTAAAGTCATCATTCCTTATTTATAATATTATGTTGTTTCAATAAAAATTATCCTTGAAAGCATTTGATAGCTTATATAAAAATTATTTTAAAGTAAAAAAAAAAAAAAAAAAAAAAAAGGCCGACAATTTTGTTTCTAATAAATTAAATAGTTAGAAAACATTTGTATGTAAAAGTATTTTTATTTAAAAAAATAATTGTACATAATATTCTTTAGGGTCCATTTATAAAAATATAGTTTCTGTTTGTTACATTATTCTAAATCATTATTCTGTTATCCTATTTGGATTAAAAAATAAGACATGTGTTTGTTTACTTATTGGATCAATCCAATATGAAAATTAATCTAACTCAAATAAGATCTTGTGTTTAAAAATGAAAAGAGGGCGAGACTTTTTTTTAGATTATCCAACTCTATTCAACTCAGGCCTAGCTCAAGGGGTAGGCAGGTGAGGCACCTGCCTAGGGCCCCCCAAAAATAGGGGTCCAAATTTTTTATAATTGTTTTTTAATATATTTAAAAACAAAAATGGTGTATGATTTTTTATCCAGTCCAAGGGGCAAAAAAAAAAAAAAAAACATTGAATTTCCACCCAAAGTTTGACAAAATAGCAAGTTTATACCTCTAGTTTTATATATCCCAATTTACACCCCTAAATTAACACATTGAATTTCTTTTAACAATAAAAGGCTAAAATAGTCATTTACATATCTCAAATTACTCTACCCCAATTCCATCCCAAAATTTGACATTTACATAAATCATCTCCACCCCTCTTCTGCCGCCAGCCGTTTGGAGCTGATTCCGATCAATTTTCTCATCTAAATTGACCGGAATCATCACTTTATCATTTCTCAAGTGTTTTTCTAACCTTGATAGTCCTCGATTTGACCTTTTTTTTTACAAATCTCATAACCCAACTCCACCGCACACAACAGCCATTTCGGCCTTTTCAGCATGTACCGATTGTTGTTGGTCTTCCTCGACATCACCATCTTCCTCCCCCTAACCCTCTCACCAAAATCTCTATCATACCTCATCTGTTTACTTCGTCAATCACCAACTACCGATACCTTTTGGGTTACAATTTCTCAAGTCTTTTCTGGCCAATCTAGACATTGGAAATTACCTATTTCACCACCCATCACTTCTCCAACATTTGCTCTCTAAAACCCCCTACAAACCTGAACCCTTTAGCCTGCCGATCGTCATCCACTTCTCCTAGTGATTTTGCATTTCAAAAAGCAAAAAAATAAATTTGAAATAATTTTTTTTAATATATGCTTATATTATTAGAAAGCCACCAAAGTAACTCTTGCCTAGGGTCACAAATGTTCTTGAAACGGTCCTGATTCAACTAAAAACATTTTTCTTTCTCTCATTCCTCTACCATTCTCTCCTCATTATTTTTTTTCCATTCTGAAAATTAATCCACCGCCATTGTTGCTACTCGACGTTGCCAAAACGGTGCATGATCGACCAGATCTGGCTGGTCGTACACCGTTCAAACCACTATCGGCTGTCATTCGATGGCCGACTGTCCTCTTGGATGGATGAAGTGCTTTAGTTATTTTTTAAACTTTTTTGTGAGTGTATTTAGCTAAATTAACAAATGTAGGGGGTTAAAAAAATAATCTTAATATTTTTAAAAAATGTACCAAACAATTATGTCGTCTTAAAAACCTTTTTAAAAAATATATCAAACAACTAGTCTTAAAAACCTTTTAAAAAAATATATCAAACAACTATTTAATATTTTATCAAAATTTGATATACTTTTCAGATATTTTATCAAACACATTTTCAACATTTGATCCCGTTTGATTTAATATAACCCAACCCAACTTAAAACACTTTTTCAGAGTAATATTTTTCAAATAGTCACTAAAGTAGCTTATATTAAAAAAATGCTTTTATGGTTTCATGAGTGCCATCACGAAAAAGAGTAGTGGGCCTAGTGGGTTATTTAGCAACAATCATTTTTAGGCCTAAATTACACCACCGGCCGTCTCATTTTAACTCAGCCCACGGGCCCAAAATTGATGTGTCTTTGCAACACTAGACCGCCTTTCCGATACACAAAATACTAAATCTGAATGACCCAAATATAAAAATTAGAAACCAAAGTCGTTCTTTTTGAACGCTCTTTTGCACCAAAACTGCAAAACCTCCATAACCGAACACTCTCTTCCTCTCTGCCCTAGGGTTTTTGTTTCCAATTAAGATGGATGGCGAAGAAGAGTTCGACCACGACCCACAGGAGGAGAATGAAGATGAAGATGAGATCACGCAGGAGGATGCGTGGGCTGTTATTTCAGCTTATTTCGAAGAGAAGGGTTTGGTTCGCCAACAACTCGATTCCTTCGATGAATTTATTCAGAACACTATGCAAGAAATTGTCGACGAATCGGCGGACATCGAGATTCGCCCCGAATCACAACATAACCCTGGCCACCAGTCTGATTTTGCTGAGGTCATTAAATTTCATTAAAAAATGCTTATATAGTTGTTAATTAATTTTTAGGGGTTTAGAGCTAGTTAGTTCAAGGTTTAAGGGAAAAAGAATAATTAATTTTCTGGAAGATACTGAGT